ACTACCCCCACGGATGAGATAGGGGGTTGAAACTTGGTGTGAGATGTTTTTTTTGGATATGTTATCGACTGATGAATTGGGATTCTGATTCGACTCAAGGGCACATTTGACTACCTTATCCGGCTATACCCTTTAGTGATATTCAAATTTAAAGATGTCTAAAATTCCTGGTTTTCTTACACAAAATTTTTAAATTTATAAATTTGCAAAATTCCAAACTTTTAAATGAACTTCAACATTTGCAGATTTAGTAATCTTAAAAATAAGAAATCTTAAATGTAAAAGTCCTCTTCAAAGAAGGACCTCTTTGTATATTGTCAATTATTACAGCTTTATTCATAGCTATACATATGTATACAGGATGTCTCTAATGTCCGGCATCACCTTTATATTTCGGAAGCGACTTTAAATATGAAAAAATGTTTCAGACAAAAGTTGTAAGATATCAAGGAGGATATAAGATGGTGGCAACAATTTGACCTTGCATAGTCGTTTGAAAGTCACATGAATGTTTTTTAAATAGAACCCCCCCCCACCCCTCCATTTTTTATTGCGTGTTCTTGTAGCCCTCATCGAGACCTTTTTAAAATACTATCTATGTTTGTTTTTTGTGCAAGTCATTCTCAAGATATGAAGCTTCAAAATGAACTCATAAGTGGTGTAAATTTGATCGTGCAACCTTCGTGCGGTACAGCTTGTGTAATATGAATGTCGACGATATGTTAACTTGAAGCTTCATGTTTTGGGGATAACTTGCATAAAAATAGATATAGGTAATATTTTGAAAACTTCCAAACAAAGTCTACAAGAATATCCAATAAAAAATGGGGTGTTCTATTTAAAAAACTGAAGATGACGTTCATGTGACCTTCAAATGACCATCCAAGTTCAAATTGTTACCACCATCTTATGTGCCCTATAATATCCTACACATACAACTTTTATTTGAAACATTTTTCCATATTTAAAGCCGTTTTCGTTGGGTCGAAGTTTAGAGATAACTGTATAACATAGAAATTATTTTATACTTTTTAGTGCATTTCGAAGTCGGCGTATTTTTTTTCTTAAAATTATTTTATTTCACGCTTTTTAGTGGAATGGGGAGAATTGTATAGGATACTGTGAGACAGTTCTTTCGGGCTTTTTTTTTCTGTGTAAATGCTATGAACATAATTAAGTAAAAGACAACATGGATATTAGTTTTTCAATTTTTTTTGCAACAATAATTCTTTGCAACTGAAAAATGAAAAAATTTTTGGTAATGGTACCAATGGGGAGTCAGACTCTACAAGATGCGAAAGGCTTTGTTCCGATTCACCCACCTAGGAAAAAACCGGCGAACATGCATAGAAAAAAAAAAATATATATATACTGATCGAATTGAGTAACCTCCTCCTTTTTCGAAGTCGGTTAAAAAGTGACTGTACTCATCATTGATTTAACGGAGCGATCCATAACGGCGAAAGTAACGTCGGTTTTTGTCTCGGAATACGCAAGTGCCAAAGACGGTCTTGCTAGTAAAAATATAATCGAGAATACGATTATAAGGGAAGTTTAAAAATGACAGAAATTTTCGAATATTAATGAACGATCTCTAATTTATTCAAAACTTACATCAGTATATCCGAAATAATTGAATGTAATCTTTTGAAATACTCAGAAATTCAACATTTTTCACAGACAAACCATAAAATTCATTTGACCTTGAAAAAGATGGTTTTCCAAAATAAAATTTTACAAATATTGTCCGTATAGGATCAAATCAATTAGTAGATTCATAATCAAGGTATTTAATGCTGTAAGAATTGGATCGAATTGATGATTGAAACGTTCGTTGGTTGCTGGACAGAGCAGTTCAATCAACTTCAATTGAGCTACATTATGACATATTACCAACTAAAAGTTTGGGTATTATAGCTACTACAGAAGTTAATATGTCACCATATCCTAATCATTCCCTATTTTTTTTGCTTTATTGTTATAGAAATATATACGTTTTCTTCACTATCAGGCAGTCAATTTTTATGGTTAAGGTTGGTCATAATTTTCAGTAATATTACAACCCTGCCGAGAGTCGGATTAAGATTTTAAGTCCCTGAGTTATCAAATTTTTCATAACCTCCTTGGTTAAAAAATGGGCAAAGAGGAGAAGTGTAATTTTGGAAATAAAAATATACAGTTAAATACACGAGTCTTTAAAAATTCTATAATAGATATTATAATAGCTCTGAGTATGCGTGATAATTTGAATCATATACTTTAACAGTATTTCGTTATATTTTAAGAACGTAAGTCCGATTTATTTCTAAATTTAGTGTGATTTTTAATTGTTTAAGAAGAAAAAGCCGTGAACAAAAGTTTGTTTCATTATATTATAATATAAATAGATGTTTCATACCGGAATTCACTTAAAAAGTAACATCTTTTTATTTCAGTTTTTTCTACTTTAAATTAATCTCTAATATTTTACGAATTAAATTATTGTTTTCTGAATACGTAGTGAATTTTTGCTACAAATAGAGGTTTTATTAAAAATGTACAAGTCAGAAGTTTTATTTACAACTGATTATTTTTAAATTTATAAATTTAAATTTAATATTTTTAAATCCCAAAATTTTCAAATTTCTATATTCTAAATTCCTAAATTTTCAAATCTTCAAAGTTTGAAATTTCCAGATTTTTACATTTTCAATCTTTTAAATGGTTGAATCTCTAAATTCTCAAGTTTTTAAATTTCTAAATTCCGAAATGTCTAAATTTTCCGATTTTTCAACTTTCAAATTCTTAATTTTAAATTCCTGAAAGTACAAATTTTTCAACCCCTAAATTTTAAAATTTGCAAACACCATAAAGGGTATAAGCCGAATAAAAAAGTTGAAAGTGCTTTTGATTCAAAAGTAAACTTGTAATACGTCATTCAGTAGTATATATATAGAAATAAAAGAATATGATGCTAAGTTTTATTCAGCATCGAATTTTTTGTATTAAATGATATACAAAGTTCTTAAAAAAATTAAAGACATTGTAAGCTTGGTTAGCGTATATTAGAAATCGTTTTTATTGCAAAACCCAGTTATATAAAATTAAAGATCGAAAGAAAATTGGACGAGATGCGATTTTTTATTGAATATATTGGCATACTATTTTTATATTATTATAACATGAACATATGAGGACTATGTAATTATTTAAAAAAAATGAAAGCTATATAATATTTTGTGCATTTATGCATGTAGAATAAAGAACATAAAGCATTAGCATTGTCATAAGGATAAAAATCTAAGGGTAGTGTTCTTGCAGGCACGTATATCGAGACTTTTGCTTGATATTGTATTTCTTAGATATTCTCCTTGATTACTGCTTTAACGTATTTATGTTGTTCCGTATTAATTCCATTTATGTACAACAAGACGTAGTTATTACTGTATTGCAAAATAATAATACATACATATATCGATAGTTCGACAAAATTATGCCTTTACAAAGAACCGAAGCTCCTGCTGTGCGAAGAAATTTTGGAAAAATATTTCTAAACGCACCAGTGCCTCTATGAACAATTCACTTCAAGTATTACGCATTTTTAGAAGGATACGCTCGCTTTAATAGGCAAGACAGCCGCGTTTGTAACGGTCTTCCTTGTGTATGCACAAATGGAAAATTCCGAGAAGATTGAATTCAGATTCGGTATAATTGTGACAACATTGTTCTTGCTCTTAATAGCGTCTCCATTGATACACCTCGTAAGTATATTTTCTTAAATATTACGCATGCTTTTTTAGTAAAATAAAGCTATCAAAATTGATATATTTACACTTTATTTCAACTTATTAATATCAATTTATTTTAATTAAATTTCGATTCTATCGATAATAACTGTTTTCAATTTATCAATTAATATTAATAAAATGATTCAGAATCGCAATATTTACTCCAGATAAAATTTGCACAGTTAGTACCAGTATTTTTTCAGAGCGTTTAAGTGCTGAATTTTTAAAACAATTGTACATAAGTTTTTCCTTTTCTCATGATTGCGTAACGACAATAAAGAAGTTTTAGAAACGCTGAAATGTCATAGTCTGTGAGAAATCATACGAAATGTGCGTAATCATACAACGAAAAGTAATAATGAAATAGAAATCTTAAAAATGTTATTATCATGGAATTTAATTAATTTCAGTGAAATTATTTATTTCTTATTCTGTTCGAGTATCGCACACAAATCGTTTTATATTTCGTTGATTAGTACATTACTTTCTTAACACTTTGACGGCCGAAGTCATGTATACGAGCCAGCGATTATCTTAAATATTTGCAAAGCGTCAGTTGCTTATTATTTATCCATTGTTTGTTTATTGTTTATTCATTGTATGACTACTTTACTTATCTGTTTATGTATCCATCTATGTATCTATCTATTTATATTCATATAAATATGCAATCCTCAAAAATGAGTAAAAGTGACGACGATATATACGCCGATAACTTAACAAATGTTAGGTGCGTCAGAATGAAATGACAGTGAAGATTCAGACAGTGGAAACGTAATTCTTGTTAGCAAACTGAAAAATTTGATGAATTCAGTAATAGATTTCGATAACAAAGATAGTAGTACATCCGACAAAGACGAAATGAAATGGATCCGAACAGACATTTATCTGCTCTTCATGTAGTATTTCGCTGCACGCTGAACTGTGCTTTGAAAAATATCATACAAAATCAAAATACTAAACTAATTGTTTGAAAACCAGTATGCCGAGTAACTATTGCATCATTAAATTTTCATTTTTTTTATTATTGTATTAGTTATTATTATATTTTGTATATTTATATAATATAGTACATTATTATTATATTTTCGTTTATTATATCACTGTTATATGATACATTTTGGTTATTAAATGAATTATATCGATGAATTATATGACAGTATATTGTCAGCGTGCCTTTCTCAAAAGCTTGCCAATTTGTCGCAAAGCTGACAAAATGTGCCGGCGGCAAGCGCAAGTCTTTTCCCGAAACGTGCGGCCGTCAAAGTGTTAAGATATTGTACATATATATAAATACTCTTTTGTATTGCCATTGAGTGCTGCACTGTTCGACCACTGATAATTTCTATACATATATATAAATACTCTTTTGTATTGCCATTGAGTGCTGCACTGTTCGACCACTGATAATTTCTAACAGTTATTAATCAGTTTATCGACGCTTGCGAAATAGTTTTTGATTTCACGCTTGAAAAATCGACGTGTAATTTTTAAGTATTTCTGACTTGAAAGTTTGAATTTTAGAAATGTTTAAATTTTCAAATTTTGGAATTCAGACATTTTGCATTTAGAAATTCAAAAATTTTGGAGTTTTGAAATTTTTAAATGTCGGTTTTTCAAATCCAAGAATTCATAAATTTTCAAATGACAAATTTTTAAGATCAGAAATTTTTTAATTTTTGTTTTTCACATTTAGGCACTTTTAGATTTTCAAATTTTTGAATTTTTAAGTGCAGCTATTTAGAATAGGTGCAAAAAATTGTTAAACTTAAATATTTAGAAATTTCAAAGTTAAAAATTAAGAAATTTAGAAATGTTAAATTTACAAATTTTTAAAGCTTTCGAGTTTTATGTCACTATGAGTTCAATAATTTATTATGTTAACTTTTTAATAATCTTGAATATAAAAATGTATGTTCAAACAAGAAAAATGTTACTATAGAAAATTATTTTATGTCTATTTTTTAAAGCAAGGTATAATATTTGTGTTTAAGCACCTTTATATTTAGTGAACATTTTTAAATTTAAAATCATATAAAAGTAATAGTTACATCAAATTAATGTTGTTAATACGAAATCGAAACTTCAGAAAATGTTTGGTATTTTTCTTTATTATAATGTATAGTTGACTTCAGATTAATTAATTTTTTTTTCACACTGTAAATAGTTTTTGAAAAACTGCGATAACAGTTTTGAGTAAAATATATTTTGTACACATGTATAGTTGAGGAGATATTCAAGGTGTTCATGTTTAACAGTTCACGCTGTTTATTCTTTTAAATTTTTATCTATTGACGAACTATTTTTATTCAGCTTTTTTGACTCGAAATGTTATTAGTCTTTTTGGTAGTGTGATTTTACATCAAATCGGCCTTTTTTTGACGACCATGCGAGGGATTTTGCTGCAATTAAAATATAGCGTAGTGCATATGAAATTGGGGGGAAGGTATTATCATTTTATTGGTTTCGAATATGTTTAAAAGATGTCAACCTTTAAAGTTTTTAATTTTTTTTTCATGAAAATGAATGGATTTATAAATTTTTGTCTCGAAAATTATTAGGTTGGGGAATAAGTTCGTGGCGTTTTGACATTTTCTTTTTTTTACAGCGGCATTTTGCAATTTGCAAGAAGTTATAATATTCATTCGATAGAGCTCTTTCTGCTCTACAAAACTGTGTTAATCGTTTTTTTCAGTAGATTCATTCGTCATTGCTATTGAGGCTTAGAAACGAAATATCAAGAAGGTAGAAAGCAGCATTTTCGACACCTGCTCTTCTTCGCTTTCCATCGCGGCCAAAAAGTTGTGAAAAGTTGTGAATGGTTGCTGAAACAGGCCGGGATATTTGCAATATATACGGAGAAGGTGTCATAGGTGAGTCGACAGCACGGAAATGGTTTGCAAAATTCAAAAATGGCGATTTTAACGTCGAAACCCCGCCCCGCAGCGGAAGACCTTCTGAGTTCGCCAAACAGCGTCTCCGAGCACGTGTGAAGCAGGATGGTCCTCAAATTAGTCGTGAATTAGTCCAAAAAATGAACTGTGATCATAAAACTATTCTCAATCATCTCCATTCAATGGGATTTGTCGAAAAAGTGGGAGCCTGGGTGCCTCACGAAGTGAACGCTACGAACTTATTGCCCAACCTTAGGTTGAATTTTGCAAACCATTTCCGTGCTGTCGACTCACCTATGACACCTTCTCCGTGTACATTGCAAATATCCTGGCCTGCTTCAGCAGCTTTTTTGGCCGCGATGGAAAGCGAAAAAGAGCAAGTGTCGAAAGTGCTAATTTTTACCTCCTGGATATTCCATTTCAGAGCCTCAATAGTAATAACGAATGAATCTGCTGAAAAAAATGATTAACACAGTTTTGTAGAGCAGAAAGAGCTCTATCGAATGAATATTATAACTTCTTGCAAATTTCAAAAGGTCGCTGTAAAAAAAAGAAAATGTCAAAACGCCACGAACTTATTCCCCAACCTAATATATACTAATAATAAAAAACGAAGAATACCATAAACACTCAGGCAAAAAAAATTATATGGCAAAATAAAAATTGTATACATATACCTTCCTCCAGAAAAACATATAAAAACAATAAAAAAGAATTCATTGATCACGAGCAGATTTAAACTTGTGAGAAAGTAATTTAAAAATCTACCAATATATCATCTATTACAGTCGTTTATACTATTTACTACTTCTGGAAATAGAAAAATTAAATCTTAATCGTTTCTCCAAAGAATTAGTCAATGTCGAAAGTAGCTAAACTTATCGAATTAAGTTACAATTTGTTCCATTTCAATCAAGAAAGATTGTACTATTGTATTCGTTATTTTATTTAAAAAATTGTTTTGTTTAAAGATTAATTTTTATTTAATAGCTTTGAAAAAATATCCTTAATTTTTTTGAAATTTTACCCATAAATTAAGTTTTTTATGGTAGTAAGTTTGAAATTAACACGAACAAAAAATTAAGTCAGGGATGAAAAATAAAATTTGTGTTTTGTTACTATTTTTCGATACATATTTTACTATGTTTATTGTAGTAATATTAATATATTTTTTATAAATATTTAATAAAAATAAAGTTAGGCGATAAATATAGGCATTGTATACAAGTATTATTATTAAATTATTTTACATATATAAATTATGTAATAACGTAAATGTAATTACGTAATTATGACAAGTTATAATGGGAGTAATGTAAACAATTGAAATCCACTTATGTAAAATGCTTTTAGTTTTAAAAGGTCGTGGTTTTCTTAGAAAAATTGTTATTGAAAAATTAGCAGTTGGTAGCAGTTAATTTTTTCGCAATTTTTTACAGAATGTATCCACAAAAAGTTTCTGTCGAGAGCACGATGGAATTTTGAAGAGAATTTTAGAAAATCTTGCTTGAAGTAAGCGAAGATGGGTCGCTTAAAATTATTAATACAACTTTAAGAAAATGAAGAAAGTAACACAAACCACTATCAAACTGAAATGGTATTTACCTTCAACAATTTTCTGTTCAAATGTGTATTGTAAATCATCACCTCTTCCGCAGTCCAGAAACTTTAACTAGATTAAAAGTCAAGTTTAGATTAACATTGCTTTGACTTTATAACGTATTTTAATATGAGCTATATTTGCTTATTTGTTTATTAATACTTGGTCTAATTATAACAATTATTTACAAATATGTCCACGAATTTCAGTAATACATTAAGAAGACTCGATTTGTTTATTTCTTTTTTTAGTTACATATATAGAGCCATATGTTATGCAGTAATATTACATTAATACAAAATTTTGAAGTTTTTCTGCGAGACTGTTTAAAAGAAATTGAAGATGTTGAAGTTAAAACTTCAAATATAAAAATAGATTTGCAAATTTTAAAATCAAATTGGTCTTATTTGTATCATCAGTGGAATAGGTAGAGAAAAAACGAAAACTCGCTTTTGAATTCACACATGTACTAATAAAGGAAAAAATTGAAAAAAGTATTTGATAAAAATACCTGTGGGGGAAATGGGAATTAAAATTTCATCGTTTGTTATTTGGATAGGGCGTGACAATGTAAGAGTAAAGCTTTGGACATTTTTAAAATATGTCAGTAAAATTAGAGTTTGGATTGGGGCAGCTGAGGAAAAAATTATTTTTATAATTTATTTATGATTTAACACTGATTAATAATTGTTAATAATTTTTTCTTGTTCGATCACCGAAAATGTTCCAAAAATTATGGTAATCATTATATTGAACGCTTTAATGGGACATTGAATCTTTTATTTACTTCAGCATGACGTTAATTTCAAACATGCCATCTTAACAAAGGTTTGTTCTGTGTTTCGAATATCGCTTCTGATCTTTACTTATACCATTTTTGTAATAAAATAGAACATGAGTGTTTGAAGATAAAGTAGAAAGTTATGTAAGTGTAGTAATTTATTGTAACATTTTTCTGAAATACTTGACTTGTTGGTTACCGACAACTTTATCGATATCAAAGCGACAGCGATATCTAACTGTAATAAGTATGTTCATAAACACATTAACACAGTATTATTTGTATTATGATAGCATTGAAAATATCAAGTAACGTTTCAAGATATAATGCTAAATAGTTAGAATGTGTATAATATAATTCCATATATAAGTGTTTAAAAAAAAAGTGTTTCAGTAAACACACAAAGATAATGTGAAAAGTAATTTCGTTTTTTATAATGGAGTTATATTTTTGAGTGTATCAGTCGATGTACTATGTGTGATTGTAGAAACAATCATTATTGTCTCATTAAAATGTTAGCTTTATTTATTTATTACCTATTTATAGCAGGAACTCAGTGCAATGATTATGGGCGAAAATTTTGAAATTGATAATGTTATACTTGACTTATATTATCTACTTTCTGAATTTTTTTTTTTAATAAAGTCAACATTTTATTGAGAGATTATACTCTCTTAGCATTATTTAAATTAAAATATTTTCTAAATTGATAGTATATTTATTATAAGTTTAAACTAATAATTATTGAAATTATTTAATTGATGTATTAAAAAACCACACGATTTTATTTAAAAAAGTCCATTTTCACGCATAATCGATAGAATCGAATGACCTACAAAAGAACTAATAACATCATATTATGTTCCTCTCGAAATAATTCGTCCTTTATGTAAAATATCTTTCATCACAAATTATAATAGTGATGTATACCAAAATGTCAATATCTTAGATTGAACATCCTGTGTATAAAAGTATAGGGTTGAGCAATAGCAATATTTACCTTGAATATTTGCGTTAGTAGTAATAATATGAAAAAAATGTTATGTATAAAACTTGTATAGTACCGAGGGGTGTACATTATATTGTAAACCATTTTTTACGTGGATGGAAAATCGCCAGAAACTATTCATACCGTATAATACCTTTTTTATATTATACAACTTTTGTGCTAACGTTTTTCTGATAGCTTCTATGAACTGATTTTCCAAGCGCTATAATCAATTTTATCTTTTGCTATTGGAGATTTATCAAATTTTTAAAACTCGTCGCGTTTATCAGATTCTTTAGGTGTAATAATTATATACATTGTATGTAATTCATTTTTACTCTCAATTATTTTTTTAGGGAGAAGTTATAAGGACACAGAATACAGATATTCTTCCGTTTCCGCTTATATTTATGGGTACTCTAGCCTCGTTTCAATGGCTGTTATATGGCCTCATAATTAATAACACATTTGTCATCGTAAGTAGATCACTTAATTCTATTAATATATGGAGTAAAGGAAATTTCATCAGTTTCTAATGTTTTTACTTTGTTATAAAAGTTTCAGAATGTGATAGGTTTTCTTCTATCCGTGGTGCAAATGTCGTTATTTGTGATATTTCCCTCAAAGTCGAAAGCCAAATTAAACAGTCAAGAGAAGATGGATTAACAAAACAATCGTGAATATTACAAATTATTTGTTGTATCTTAAAATACTGTACTTTAGTTTAGTATAAAATGTTCCAACAAACCAGTACTTACAAACCAATGATTGCGATTTATACAGAAGACATAAATCCTGAATAATTTGTAATATTATTTACGAGAGAAAGATAATTCTATTTTTAACTAGATTATTCTTCGAATAAATAGTTCTATTTCTCATTGAACATGGAATGTTTTCTTTTTAAACCTAAGTGGCCGTTCCTTAAAGAATCCGATAAATGCCATGTATTTATTTTTCACTTATATATTATAATTTTGTTCTAGAGTGAACCTAAGATAACAAAATATTACTATTCTGACTTTATATTTTATTGAATATTAAACGCAACTAACGTCAATAAAACAAATAAAATATCTTATGTAGAATAATTGCGAATTAAAAATAAGAAACGGTTAGTTATTGTTATAAAAAGTGTATATTTAAAATTCTTCCTGTTAGATTGCTATTATAGATCATGTAACATCAAATGTCATACACACGCATATACCCTTAAAGTTTAAAAGTTGACAAAAGCGTACTTATTGTACAGGTATTAATAGCACAATGTAAAAAGGGGAGATCTCCCCTTTCATTCAAGTGTTCACCATATAATAGGGAGATCTCTTCAATTGGCTAATAATCCTTAAAATAACAATACGTTCTGGTAAGTAGTAATTCACATTCATTTAGTTCATTTATTCGTCATTCACAACCATATATAATAAATCAAAAAATTAGTAGCACAAGTAGTTTCTTGCAATCATCTTATTTAACGCTAACACTGCTGACATAATACACAAAATAATATGTATAGTTTTCAAAAGTTTGAAGCTCACTATAGTACCGTAATATACAATATAGTAATTTACTTATTTCTTTAAATAAATAAATACTCAAAATATTGTTGTGTTATAGTAATAAAGTTTTGACAATCCTGGATGAAAATGGAAATACAAACCCCTATTTAGCAATAAACAATTTTTCTGTTTTTATTATAATATGGCAGTTAAAGAAATTTTAAGAATTTTTTTCTTATCGCTTTTACATAAAATTTCACTGTTTATTTGTCATGTTTTTAAAAATATATATAACATGACTTCAATTCGTTTTAAAACATATAACCTTATGTTCATACATAAAGACAATATTATTAATAAAACTACGTTGTATATGCTAAAAATTTTATGTTATCTTAAAAATTATAGAGTATTCCAAATTTTTTAGTATCAGTGTACATTGAGTTTTTATTTTAAATATAATCAGCATATATAACAAAAAAGTATTCTAACAAATACTACAATTTAAAATAAGGTGCTTGAGGGACAACTATTTGCTGAGTTTATTAATTATATTGTTGAAAGAAGAGTATATTATGTTGTGTTATATTTATTGCATATTATATCATTTATAAAATTGTCTTTTAATTTATTTTGTAATTAATATGTCCAGAACACAATTATTATAATACATGTAATTGGGTTTGCCAAATACGTTTTTGATTTTTGTCTGTAAATTTTATAAGGTTTTCAAGCTTATTTCATTACTTAAATTGATTTAAAATTAATTGCCAGAAATTGATTAAACGAAAATTTTTTTATAATTTATTACAGTTATTCAAATTAAGAATTGAACTCTGTCTTAATCTAAAAGAGGCACGGAGATTATGAAATCTTCTATATTTATAAATTCTCAAATTTCCAAATTTGTGAGTCTCTAAATTTCTAAATTTTCAAATATCCAAATTTCTATATTTTCAAATCCCTAAATTTTTAAATTTCCAAATTTCCACATACTCGATCAATTGTCAACTTAACGAATTCTAATGTAATTCATCTGCACACGTGAAAACCGTTGCCACAATTGTAAATATCACCTCTGTTATTACTTTCCTCATTACTCTTGTTTTACTTTTACACTAGTTGAATAAAGCTCTTAGTTTTTATCAGACTTGGATATGATTAGGCACAGTAATTGAAAGTATACGGATGTGGTTCTTGTCTAGATGCATGTGGCTGCACTAATTCAACCGCAGCTAATTATTATGAAAAGTCGTATCTAAATCGGCAACATTTTGATAGGAGAGTTATTCAGATAGCATAACGAACTGCTGTAGAACAGTTTCTTTAAACCATTCTGTCAACGTCGTTAAATTAATATGAATATGGCAGAAAAAGTTTTAAAAGGCGTAAGAACGTGCTTGGCACGAATGTAATAAATAAATTGCACTCTTACCACATTTATAAAGAACAAAGAGTCATAATCGTGATTATGTTACAAACATGACATTTTGTTATTGACTACTAGAAGAAACTTCGAATTATGTAAAGCTATTAATAATTATGTCGATTTCTTAACGGAAATCGAATTTTATGAAACAATGAAGCTAAATTTAAGATCAAGAAATTTTCAATATAACTTACATCAATAGGTATCCGAAAAAATTTATTCAATTTTGCAAAGTAATTTTCAAGTGAGATAAAGTATGGATGTTTAGTAAAATAGAATGCCAGAATAGAATGAGTGTTAATCTGTATATGAATATAAGAGAAAATAAGCTCTACGCAATATGGCTTATATTTGAGAGAGTGTTAGATTCATCAAGACAAATCTTGAATCTTTTAAATCTAAATTAATAAGATTTGAAGATAAAATCTTGACAACATTTCTTTCCTGATAGTGTAACATCATAGCATATTTACATTTCTTGCGTGACGTGTTGTCGATATTTTTGGACGACGTTCATTTTGCGAGATGATTAAATTTAATCTTCTCTACTTCAGTCGAGCCATAAGGAATTTTGTGAAGGAACAGTACGAGTGTTGGATGACGTATCGAATACTGAACAGTTACGTGAAAGAATTATTTTAGAGTCTGAAACATTAAAGTTGCAAACCAACACTTCACAAAACGTACGTAGAAATTCAATTAGAAGAGCATTATGATGTATGCAAAATCACGGGCAACATTCCCAACAATATTTAAGTTAATAAAATTCCTTAATAGTTAATATTTTCTTTTCATTTTTTATCACCTTGATATTCTGTGTACCGGAATCAAATATTAAAAACTAAAAACGTTTATTAAAGCAAAGAAAGACGGCCTATATTGAAATCTGCTGATTTAAGATTTAGTCGATTGTATGTGTATGAAATAGATTTTTAATGCTGATTTTCACAAAAATGAAGTGTTGATTAGAAACATTTTGCTCCATATTTTCGACATACTCTTCCACGTAGAATCCGCCCCTATCCAGTTGTATCCAATTATGTGATACTGGATATACCTCCTATTATATTCAGTGGCAAATTTCAAGTATTTTATTTCATCCAATCTAGAAATACAAGTTTCAAAAATATATCTGTAGTCAATCCAGATGAATAATCAAAGTAATAAATAATCTGAAATTTACAAGTTCTAAAATTATAGAACTAAAATTATGCTCCATGATTTCCAAATATCTAAATTACTTAATTTATGAATTCTTAAATTTATAAATTTTCAAATTCCAAAATTGTTGAAATCTTCCCATATTTAAAAAAGAAATTTCAAATTTACAAATTTTAAAGTTCCGAAATCTCCAAAATACATGTAAATTCCACAGCATCTATATTTAGAAATTCCCAAATCTCATACTTTTATATTCTCACATTTTCGAATTCCCTAAATCTCAATTTTTAAATTTCACAATTTCGAAATCTACAAATTGCCAAATTTAATTATACAAAGTTTCAATGTTTTAATGATTGATTGTTGATATAAATACATTAATGTTATATTTGTGAACACATTGTTTTTATATTATTGTATAAATAATGTACTGACCTAATATAATAATTCACAATAAATTATTAATAGTTATATTAGGTTAATATGTGATTTATACAATAATATAAAATGAAAATTAAAGAAAATTGAAAAGAAACTAATGGGTAGATTTGTTAGATCCAGGTCAGTATCCTATAAAACAACTTATCTACTGTACTCTACAACACTACCTATTTGAGGGATAATTTGGTTAGTGAAATGGTTGGAATCATGTTAAAAAATTACATTTGTATCAACATTAGTTATTATTACTTATTAAAAAAGAATTGTGTTTATAGTTATCGCGCGAGTTACAAGTAGATATATTGTATTTATTATAGATTGTATTTTAAAGATGTAAAAATTAGAGTTTGAAGAAAGATTTATAAGTTCGGGAATTTGGAAATTCAGAAATTTGGAAGTTTAAAAATTCGAAAATTTGATAGTTTGTATATTTTAAAAATTGAATGTTTGGGATTTTGAAGAAATTTTAACTTAGGCTTGCAGAAATTTTGAAACTTGCATTTTTCATGACTGCCTGTTCTAACGATTGACTCTTGCACTGATGCACTCATAGTAGTTTCGCTTGTGAAGTTTGAAAATATTATTGAAATATGTTAGAAATATATAAACGAATTTACTAGAAGGAATTATGTAAACATTATAAATCTTATAGATTTTATTCATAATCAAATGAATGTGAATTAAATGTGTTAGTCCACTACATTTTCTTTAATCAAACTTTTTAAGATTAAATAATTTTATATTTTGTTATTGTATTCTATCTGATTGGAGGGTTTGTTAGATTGATAAAATAGTCATAAAAGGATGCGATGTAAAAGAACACCTTATTTAAGGAAAATTATATTCCTCCTTTTTATCAACAATTAGCCAATAAACTTTATGTACACAAAAGCCACTTTTATTAACCCCCAACACATGAAGATCGTCGAAATTAATCTTTATTGCTATCCTTATTGTTCCTCTTTTGAATTTCACGCGACGACTGTTTAAAGACCAACGAACAGAGACGAAGAAGAAGAGGAAGAAGAAGGGGAAGGAAACTTCCACCGTCGAGAGAATTCATTATGTAAATTCAATTGTACGTCTAATAATAAAGCCACTGAAATATTTCTCAATGAGTGACATGATCGTAACTATTAAGAATAACTGAAGGTGATTACCATTTTACTTTCTATGAAATCAGCGTTACGTTGCATGCAAATGGCGGCTGACTGCACTCCACTGGATTTGCGTCCACGATGGCTCGTTAGTAGTCGTACTTGGTATCGGCTTATTATATGAGCTACGTACATCATCGCTTGACTTTCTGATCGAGTTTGCTGGCTAATAGCAGGAAACAGTGACCTTCTATGTCGA